CTTTAGCGGTCTCTCTCAGAATAATCACATGCATCAGACGGGAGGACAGCAGTGCCACAGGGTGCCCAGATTAAGGTTTTCTGACTGGTCAGCTGGTGGGCGATTACACTGAAGGAGTAGCGCTGGATAATCCTCAGAAAGAGCTGCGCCACATTACAACCTCACTGACAAGGACAGACAGAAAGAGAGAGAGGGACAGAGTGCGAGTGTGTATATGCATGAGCATGCATGTGTGGGTTTTGTGCAAGTGTGCGTTTGCAGCCAAGTCTCAGCCTGCAACCCAAAAGATAAGCAGCAGTGATAATGCCAGCAACGGAGGACTGATTCTGGAAGAGAATCAATGCTTAACAGGCTTGGCAAAGGAACTGCCCCCCTTTCCTACCACATATCTAAATTTTTCACTGCTGCGCCATTGCAGCTTATAAGTGAAAATTGCGATTTAACCAGGAGCTACTACAACAATTTGGCAAGACCCCCTCCACAAAGTTTAAAACATTTGGTGTTTTTAAGCTGACAGATGCAAGGGCTGGTTTCACCATCTGCACAGCCAACCGCTCACTGTTCTGATTAATCCGCACTCTTTAATGATATAAACTGCAGAGCGCCGAGGCCAAGGAATAAAGACTAGGACTGTGGTTTGGGAACTACAGAAGGTTGACTAGTAGCAGATGCAAAGACTCAAGCCTGCAACTGGGAGTTTGGGTACAAAAGCATGCAATCACAAGGACACAAAAACTTGGAGAACCCCCCCCCCCCCCCCCCCAAAACCTCAGCTTTTAAACTTTATAAAACTCTCTGGTTAAATTTCTTAAAATATGATTACAAGCAAATTAGATAACTCTCTGAATCTCTGTGTTTTCAGTGCGATAACATAGTCTTATTATATTATTAGAGACTATGGTTCATTCTGTTGTGAAGCATTACGAATTAGTGGGCATTTTACTCATTTTAAATGGCACAGCCCTCCTCAGATAGATCTGGGATTGAGGCCCTTCGCAAAAGCCAGGTTTCAATGGAGACAAGGGTTTCAGACAGGCAGAGCTGGCCAACTGCAGGGACTAGTAGCAGGGCTCAGGCTGGGGGACAGAGAGGCTTGGCAGTCAGTTGTAGTACAGGGCGGGTTTGGGATGAGGACGAAGGCACAGAGTGACATAAATTATGTATCACACAACCATTATAGAGTGCGCAATAGTACATGCAGTCTTCAGACATGAACCACATTTGATTGTGTTAAAATGAGCTGCACAGAAAACAGTCTATGCTTCTACAAACATGTCCACACTGTGAGACAATCGGCTAGACTGATCAGTTTTGCCCTAATTTCCAACCCTTTTCACCAGGAGGAGGTGTGGCCATGGCTCCTCCTAGTGGTTAATGGCCGTCATTAAGGCTGACTAACTAGATTTTAATCAACAAATTATCTTTACCCCAGGATATTATCTTTTAAAGCCTATTAAAATCTCACCCATAGCCACTGAAGCGCCTGAAACTTGATTTTTTTTTTCACCACAAAAATATTGCCGTGGCTGCTGTGTGACTTATCCGGGTTGTTTAGCACAGAGAGTCAAAGGAAAAGTGGATTTAACTCTAATCTAATTTCACCCGTGATGCAAATCAGCTTAGGTCCTTGGATCCTGTATCCAGGCAGCTCTCTTCTCCTCTGGGTAGCTTTAATAGTGCTGCACTTCAGTACAGCTGGCTCAACATTCACTATCACTACTGCTGCCAAAAGATATTCCAATCCATTCATCTGCCCCAATTTCTATGATCTGTTTAGAGTAAAAATAGATTAGCATATCACTTTGTTGATTCTATCAAAAGAACCTTCAGAAGTATGCTACCAGCTCTTTACACAGCAAATGCACAAAATCAGGCCAACCAATTTTCTACAAGCAAAATATACGTTTCTTTTCAGAAAGGCAAACTGTTAAGACGTGAAAGTGAAAAATATCAAAAAGAAATCAACTGTAGTGCAACCTTGCAATGACCTCATTAACAAGGCCAATTCTTCAGCAGAATCTCACCCTTGTGTCAGTTGAAAGGACTCTCCCCTCTGCAGTGTGTGTATCAGATGAACCCACTGCAGAGACAGAGATCTTTGAACTACTGACAAGGCTAAAGGGGTGGAACCATCAATATTTTGCAGCCACTGATTCACCAATACTGCACTTCAACCAATACTCACAGAGGTGGCTGTCTGGCCAGATCCCTTTGAATGAGCACGGAGGTAGTCTACTCCCTGTCCGTCCTTGTTTAGCTCAGTGTTTTCTAGCTGGCCTGTCTGTCTGTCTGGTGGGGTAAACACTGTCTTGCCGGGAGACAGAAATGCTGAATTAGTGATGAGCTGGAGGAGAATGGCTGCACACCTGAGCAGGGGGACAGAAGTTGACTCACCTTGTCTAAAGTGTGAAAAGAGGAAGTGAGCCCAAAGCTAAAAAATGCACTACTACTGAGGAGAGAGATATGAAGGGAAAGGGAAGGTTGAGGCCACTAGGCAAGGAATATTAACAGCCAATTTACACCAATGGCCTTTAGACTCTTGTTTGTCCCCCTAAAGTGACTCAGTGGTTTCAGGCATACTGATAGAAACTCTAGAGGAAGCATGAGCACATATGATACTCACTGATTGGAAAGGCAGGCAGCGGCACACAGGCATGAATTCAACAGACAAAAACACATTTTTCATAGACTGGCACCTTTCAGTTACATCCCAAGATGGCATCATTTAGCCTCAGAAGTATGCTAGACTGTTATTATGAAGCTGGATTAATGAAACCACTTCAACATGTTGATCTGTGATAGCTTTCAGTAGAAAAGACTCTGAAGCTATTCTGCCTATTTAAAGACAAACACTAATAGACACTAAAGCACACATTGAATTCAATCTGCTCAATCTGAAACCAACACCTCGTCCCGCTGGTTGATTCACAGCTATACTATGGATCTGTTCTTGTACTTCCTCTTACTGCTGTGGTGCTTCAGCTTTGCTGTATGGGAATCTTATCTTAACTTCCTCTTGACAAGACCTGGTCACATGAAGTCATTGTCAAATCAACTGAAATGAAATCTACCCACCCGATCAATTCAATCATCACTACTGCTGAACACATGAATATATATTTAATGTATTACACCATACATTATACAAAAATAACATTCTGATTAAACTAAATTAGCATCAATTTGGGCATGTAACTAAAACATAACTGATGATGATGAACACTGACTTCCTGATAATCAAAATAGCCTCCTTAAAAAAGTCCAAATTTCACCCACAACGGCATGCTGCATCATTATCACACAAATAAGACTTCAAGAGAAAAGGAACTTTGATAGCTGGTGGAAGACTGAGTGCAAAGTCCGAAGCTTCCTCACTTAAGAGTCTTTGTTCTATTATTGTGTGCTTTGAAGAGCAGCAGTCTCTCGGGTGAGTGGCTGTGTGACTGCATCCTGGCTGCTATAAAAAGGCCACTCCTGCCCTGACATTGGAGAGAACAAAACAGTGCAGACACTGAGCAATGCTGCACTTAGTAGGTCTGTCTGTCTGTGTGTGCACTTCAAGCTGGGGAGGGTTACTTTTGAGATGTGCCAGTCAGGAATTGAAAATGTGTTCCATTCCACACGCTCGCACCCTCCGTGTGTCCTTGCTCACTGCAATGGCGTGAGGAACTTGGGTCTGGGACATCAGTGGAAACTTGGAGGGTTATGCCAGAAGTTTTACCTCTATGACGCACATGTTAAATGACCTTCCACTGGAGGACACATCCGAGTGAGAACTGCAGGTAGACAGACATCAAACATCCCACCAAGTATACATCCAGAGTATACAAGCAGTTCGAGCACAGGATGTCACAAACACAGAGAGAGAGATGTAAGGGTAAATCATGTGCGGATGCTTTCTTGACTGCTTTGTAAACACTTTGTTATGTTAAGAGGCCCCATATGAATAAAATGCATAATAATTATGATGGTAATATTATGCAAGCCAACTATTAGGCATCCTGTCATCACCATTACAAGCCCATATCAGCCACTGAGAGACACTGCCTAAGGGGAGAAAGTTGGGAAGAAGGAGGCTGGCCACTGGTTACTGTTGGGCTATTTCTCCATGACTCACAGAGCAGATAACAATATTAATGTCTATCCATTGCAGAGGCAGAAACATGGGTGATTGGAGACACTGCCACACCTCTGTTTTGTAGCCGTCTTTTTTATATAACTGTTATCCATTGTTCCTGTAATACACAGTTACCTAATGACTTTGCTAATCACGTGAGAGTATATATGTTAGGGTATTAAAATATAAATCACATGAGAGTAGCTTAAAAATTTGATGTTTGCATGAGTTTAATCACATAATGACAGATGGTGACTTAAATAATTCACACAGATATCCCACTGGATCAAACTGTGCAGCTTGCTGAGTGTGTTGGAACAGTATACATTATCAGACAGAGGATGTAAGTGAGCATGTGAAACCCACTAGGTATTGTAATGTGAGCCTGTGGTGGCTGCTATAGGGAGTTAATGGGGTGGAATTGCTCCTGAACCTCCGGAGGCAATAATCACTGTTTACCAAAACAAGTTTCACACAGAAAGGCCTTGGAGGAAGGCATAACTAGTCTAACCTCAAGTCATGACCCTCAGACTGAGCACACACGACTCTTCCTCTTTTCAAAAACACTGTCTCTCCTTTGGGGATCACATGCAGCACATACATTATGCTCCAACATTTTTCAGTTATTCAGTTATCCGTCTTCTGAATAAACGGCGTTCTGTCTGTCTATACACAGACAATGGACAAATTAACACGCACACTGTGTAAAATGGATGAGACATGGAAAGCTAAGGCTGTTTGGCATGGCTATTTCCGCTAACGCGTCGTTGTCAAACTAGCAAGGACTCAGCTAGCAAATCAGCAGCAACACATATCAAAATAAAAAACGGGGCACCTTCATCGTCACCCACACCTCTTTTATGAACTTGGGTTTTGTCTTTACCTGAATGCTGTGTGAATATATTGATCCCTGGGTCGGGCACGTTGACTGCAGCAGCCCTGCCTGGCGGTGTCCCGGTGCTACTGCCGGGTTCTCGGGGTCTCCTCCCGGCGCCGCTCCCCCGGTTCACCTTCCCTTGTTGCGGTTGGGACGCGTGGGGCTGTGGTGGCTGGAGTCCGGTCGATGTGCCCTCACCGACGCGGCCTACCTGCTGTCCCATCCTTGTAGTTTGGCGTAAGGACGTTTGGGACGAAGCGAGCAAACCCCCTGCGCACCTCTGGTTCACATTCCCCCAAGCTGGAGCGGCCTGGCCCGAATAGTCTTCCTCAATCCCCTCCCCGCTCTTCTTCTCCGAGCTAACGTTGACTAGCCCGTATTAGCGCGCTTGGCTAGCCTGTTAGCTACCGTTAGCAGCTATCAGTGGAAACCCACCCACCCTGTCTTTAAGAATAAATTCGCAACCCCGGCGTGTGACAGCGATTATCTCTTTTCCGGTGATCCAGATGGTATCCGAGCAGGTATGAACGGTATCCAGCAATTGAGATTCGTTCAAATCTTGAGCTTTTCAGGATCGTTTTGCCGTGGTCTGGCCGCTACGCGCCCCCTCTGACGCCGCCATCTTTACCGCAGAATAGAAGATGTGTTGCACAAGGCGGGGGTTCGCCGCGATCCCCTGTCACCGTGATCCTCCACCTCTCCAGCAGCAACACAAACCGGGTCCCAACAATTCCCGAGCACTGGTTCCAGCGGGCGGGGGGAGCGATTGTGGGATGTCTGATCGATAGTCCTTCAATAAAAAGCAGAAAAGCTTAAAACTCCACTATCACCTATTGTTTTTCCAAGCAAGTGCAGAGTGGTGACATTAAACAATGAGTGCGTCTTATCTGAAATTCTGTGTACTATAAAACTGTAACTACATATGCCCTGTATAGGTGTGTAATTACCTTCATTTAAAACTACAGAAATACAAGAAATGTCCAACTCTGCAGATGCAAGACAGCTGATGAAGAATTGTGAAATACATATTAACATAACTCTGAAGTTCAAAACATAAATACAATTCTAGTGATTTGTTCATTTAATACAGACCCTGAGATCAGTGGGCTACTTCTCTGTATTCTATCTGATCATGTACATCAACTCAAAATAAAGACTATTTAAGTACTATTTAATACGCACGTTGACCACTTTAAACATGCATTATATACATGTTATTATGTACGTAACATTCATAAAAGATCAAGCTAATTGAAAGAGGCGAGGATTGGCATACTTCAATTTTTATTCTTAATAGTTATTTCACTTCGATGTGTCTTCAGACCTTTGTCTAAATACGAAAATAGAACAACATGCTGATTCATAAAATTATCACCTGACACAATGCGCTATTGAAGGCCAGAAAAAAAGATCACAATCGACACAAACATGACTAAGTAAGAAAGCAAAGCTCTGCTCCCAAAAATAAATATCTCATCTAAATAAACAGCAGTTGTACAGCTTGGTTCTTTTCACTATTATAAATAGTCGTGGATTTACTTAGTAGTACAGGGCATTCAAATATTTCTGATATTATATGTGCAAGTTGCTGGTAGTTGTGTTTGTTAATATAAAATTGGCAAAAGGCTCTCAAATTCACAGCCAAACTGAGCAGAGGAATGATCCAAAGTAAAAGCTTTTAATACAGCGCCATCTTGTGGTCATACGTTTTTGGACGTGCTGTTTTCCACTGCTGCTGGTTTTTACTTTGTATTGTGCATCTCATTATTCACAAGTGTAAATACAGTCTCTCTGCATTGAAATATGTCAGAATTGGCAACATTCACCTTGTGATTTCCTTAAAAAATACAAATGTGTAAAGATGTTATGTCAAAATCAAAAGAACTAAAAGCACACTGAGGACATAAATTCCTCTTTCCATTAGTTTGGCATGGAAATTAGTGTTTTGTAAAATCTATACTTGTATGATTTCAACAACAAAACACTGTCTTATGTAATGTACTCTAACCATATTGCTAATCAAGTGTCATCCTTACAATGTTATAACATATCTATCCAGCAGCCAGCTGCAACAGTTACAGTTGTAGTTATTCTGTCATGACTTCACCTTCACATAATGCTCAACATTGGTCATCAACAAAATAAAACATTTAGTTCATCATTTAGGTTCACAAGAAACTTTCTCTGACAATGTATGTTCAAAGCAGTTCAACTGAAAATATTAAAACCATGAAGAACACATTCAGCAGTTACAAAATATATTAACTCTGTACAGCATACTTGTTATCTCCATTTGTTTCAGTAATTAATAATCTTCATTTAGTTTTATGGAGTTCAGTGTCATGATTTTTAATGAGTGCCCAACATCCATGTGGTTTGACTGCTGGAGATGAATAGAAAAGTTATAGTTAAAGTATTATATTTGGCATTAGGAAAACAGATTAGAGTTCAAGTGTAAAGTGTCAAGTCTGTAAAAGTTGTACATTACAGTGTCCTATAAAATAATTCCCTAACTATATCAGCTTTGACTGCAAATACTGAAGTTATAATACAGGTGTGACTGTTCCTTATAGATTTATACAAAACACCAAACAGTGGCCCTTTTTCAAAATAACCTTATTGGCAGTGAAAATAAATAACATTTTATGTCGTTCTAAATAACATACTGAATGTTATTTATAATACAGTCATAATTGCAAACTTTGTTAAATATTAACTATTACTGCATATGTGAATTATGTTTGTATTAAGCTGCCATATCATTGCCACTATAACATTAGCACAAGGAGTGGTTTCACAGCTGATCAAGGCAAAAGTGATGGCAATGCATAAATAGTACATAATAATAAAAGCATTCACATGTGGTTTTATGTGAATCTGTAATTTTGTTGGGTTTGTTTTTAAAAACGTAAAAAACACGTAAGTAAGGCATCACTTTGACTTTGCTGTTTGAGTAAATAACATTTTGGCACATATTTATTGAATCTCTTCCACACATTCATACACACTCAGTCACTGCCTTAGTGCAATCAAATAAAACAAAACAAACATGAAAGACCAGAAGTTATGAAAGTAAGACAAAGGCTGGTCAAATTTATACTGATCAGTGATGGTCCTCTGCAGTAGTCCAAACGTCAATCACAGCCTATCCATCAGAGTTGGCCATCAGGCTTCTGACAGTTCCAGGAGCGAGGCTTCAGTAGCTCAAGAAACGACGACTGAAATGAAAAAATAAATAAATAAACATCACATGAAGCTAATTTGTGTCTGTGGTTAAGGTTGAAAAAGTAAAAAACTATATTTCATTATCTAAAAAAAATAAAAATAAAAAATAAAAATAAAAAAAACAGTATTCCGGTGCAACATTTCACTTGGCTGCACAAAGGCATGCTGCAGGTGTTACCTCTTTCAGGGGGCAGTAGCGCTGGGCATACCACTCCTGGGAGTACAAACAGATAATGACTCCCTGACCCAGGAAGAGGGATGTCCACATAATTATGTTCCAGATGGGACCTTTCCTTTGGTCATGCAGAATGAAGTTGAACATCACTGTGAGAGGGCGAGAAATGAAGACGAGGGTGGAAGCATAATGAAAACATAAAATAAGTTAAAACATAACTTAATGTTGTGTATGGCTTGACACAAACAGAATAATACTATTTATTAGGTTTAACTGAAATTTCAAGCATGTCTGGGTGACTGATTGCTAATATGCAATAAAAGCAGAGTGGTGTGAGAATAGTGAGGAGAGCTGAGGTCTTTTTTTCTTACTTCCAAAGCACATAAAGAGGCAGAAGAGCACAGGATAAAAGAAGCCAAAGCAGATTGCAAGAATGTACTCGTGGACCACTGCAGACACTGTGAACACAAACAGCATGGCTGCTGGTCTGAAACGCTTCTGAGATATCTAGAATGACAGCAGCAGAGAGATCAAACACGTCAAAACAACAGTGGCGAGCAGATTACATCTAATCCATGTTTTGGTTTTTTTTTTTACATTAGCAATAACTTGGAAAATGTGTTTAATGGCTTTTCACACTGGTGTTGTAATCTTTCAATAAAAACCTCTAATAGCAAAACCACTCACCCACAGCAAATCCCTGTACACATAGTAGTACAGCCAGTCATGGACCACCACATTCCAAGTGCGATAGTAATTGGCAAAAGAGGTTGAATTCCACCAATCCTGTAATACAAATTCATTAAGTTAAGTATAAAGTACAACACAGGAACTTCATTTAAATTTTGTGGTTGCTGACAGTAGAGGTAGGCAGGCAGATATCTTTCAATATAACAGGTTATAAAGTGAAAGGTAGAAGACATACCTTGTAAAACATCCTGTCAGCAAAGCGGAGCATCTCGGCAAAAGCATTAAGCCAACAGTGCAGGAAGGCAAAGAATGCCAGAAAGAGAACCAACACTCCTGCAAATGAAAAACGACAGGAATGGTTTTCTTTGTTTACTACTGCATCCATTAACTGAGTGAGACTAATAGCTGTATAAAAGGGTATTTGTTTTATTTGTTGACGCACCACAAACAAGTGGGCAATCTTACCTGGCAAGATGGAGTTAAAGACACAGAGCACCATGGCTCTCAGGTCAAACAGCTGCAGACTAATGCTGCGAAACTGAGGGATGCACAGCCGCACAAACACGTAATAGGCATAAAACAGACTGCCAAGTACCTGTGGGGTGGGAGTGGTTGAAATGGTCAGACAAAACGGGCTAATACCTGTTGCTTGCAAGTAAGGTCTGCATAAAATGTGAAAGAAGTCAGTACCTGAAGTAACTTTGTGGCAACGTAGCTCCATCTGATGACTGGGTTTCTGCATTCAGTGAGACACAAGGTTTTACCAAACACATGAGCTACTGTAGCGGCGGAAAACAACAACGAGTGGGCCTGCTTACCTGGGGTACTTGTCTCTGTAAATGAGTGTGGGCGCAAACAGGAAGTAGAGATACTGAGAAACCTGAGGGACCACTGGGCTGGGGCCTATAGACGACAGGAGAGACTGCTTATCAACATATGGACATAAGAAAAAGGGAACAGAGTTGCTATGAGAAAGGGAGAAATTGTTTGAATTGGCAAATAAAAGAATTGTACATGGATACACAGGGGGAAAAAGGGGCATAAACATGTTTTAGTTGAAAGGTTACATACTGGTCTTGTCTTTAGCCCAGTTCAGGACTCTTGGTACATTCTCCCTGACAAAGGAGTGGGCTTTCATCATTAGACGCACCTGCAATTAGATAAAAAAAAAAGACAGCAGCTATTACAACTTTTTCCACAGAGTTGAATTTGAGAACGGGAAGGCAAGTTTATAGTACATTTCAAATTGTATTTAAAAGTGCTTTACATGAGGCAAGAAATATGGCATAATACAACTCACTGACTGTGGATGCGGTCCCACTGAACAAACTAAAAGTGAGATACTGGTCATCTACCTGTTCCAGGATGATGATGAAGCAGGATGCAGGTGGTAAACTGTTGGTCACCACCACATACGTAGGCAGGAATCCCAGACCCAGAGCTTGGTAGAGCAGGAATACAGAGCCAAACAGCAAACTGTACAACCTGGGGTGACTATAAGACCCAGGCTGAGTCTGTGACCACAGGTGGAACAGGGTGTAGGGAACCAGCAACGCAGACAGGAACATGCAGATCCACGTGCACACCACCAAAGGGAACTGTCCAAATGCATAGACCAGCAGGTCAAAGTCCAGCACCAGTCTGATGGAAAATAGATAAATTAGAGATGAGAAACATGAAGGATCTTTCCTAGATCAAAAGTGAAAGCAATTTAAGGAATTCATAACTTCAGCAAAAGCTAAACAAAAACAAGATGGTGATTTGTGAAGTTAAAAGACTTAATCATTATGGTGCAAAAATCATAAAGGAATTATACATAGCAGTCGTCTACATTACCTGCCTTCATCAATGAAATCTACCACCAGTGTACTGAGGATAAAGAGAATGAGCAGGGCAATAAACATGTGGTAGATAGTCCTGATGTGGTTCACCTCAAACAGCTCACTGTAGAAAACCAGACAGCGGGTGATTAGAATCTATATGACTACACTGATGTCAACAAACAACCTTCAAGCAGCAGAACCAGAATGACTTGCACTGTAATAAACAAATGTTGCAGCGCACTTCAGGTAGCAACCTTTGCATTCCTTCCAGATCAATGCTTCAACTTACTCTAGGAGGGACCTGCGACTGACGAACTGCTTGCCCAGGCCATGAGGAGGCAGAAAAAGCCTAAAGGAAAACAGAGTAACATCAGCGACCAGCAAATCTATTTTTACAGGACGAAAAGCTTGTGAATACTGAAGTCCTGAGAGGCAAGTGAGAAAAAGAAAATTGCAGTGATCCATTTTTCATGTCTGATCTAAATAGCTTTCGCTAATGTGTTTACGACTTAAGGCAACATTATGTAGTCCTGTTATCTGCAAGACAGATGCTGAGCTGGCCTTCTTGCGGTTGGACTAGTAATATTAGCTGGTTTGTTATGTCTTGTGTTGTTGCACCTGCTTGATGTTTAGCTGGGTTAGCAAAATTGTCAACTCGCTACCTTCAGATCATAAAAACATGTACAGCTGTCCTTCTTTACGACAGCGGTGCATACTGTAAGAGAATAGCACTCAGTAAATTGGGGGCGCCAAATCGCAAAAAAAAACCTATTCTTGCAACAAAAAAAAAAGTAAATAAGTTTTGGCAGGATGTGTTGTTGCAACACTCATTTTGGCAACAAGAGTCTGAAATGCACCACCACCCCATGTTCAAAATAAGACTATATGTTTAAAGCATTTATGTTTTCTTACAGTTGAGTTTTGATTTCTCTAAACACAATGTACATATAGTGTGTTTTAGTTAAGTAATATTACTGTCATTTCTTTTTTTTTGGCTAGAAATTTTTTATTTGGTGCTTCACCTGGAAGAAGACATGAATGCTTTTAGTCCCATTTTGAACATGGGGTTGTGGTGTACTTCAGCCCCTTGCAACTGAAATCAGACTTAGAAAATAGATGGCTTCCTTATGTGTATGACCAAGAAAGAAATGGGGAAAGTTTGTCTTATGTGTTAATCTGGAATTTAGTGCAACTTAAAACACAATTTGCTTTGATAGGGTACAGAAGTTGACAGGCAGCACCTGAGTTTGCTCCTCTCCTTGTCTGTAAGCGGAGGTGAGAAGACAGCAGGTACAGGTGCAGGCTCCAGGCTGGCCGACTCCTCAATAAGACTGTCCATGAAGTCACTAACCTGACTGTCAAACTGATGCATCAGGTCACTCTTCAAGTGCTGAGCAATAGCAAAAGACGCAAGAAGAGTTATCATTCACACTCTGCAAATACTTGTACAAATATAGAATATTTTGTATTTATGTGGCAATAATGATGTTCCTTCTGAATGTGCAAAGAGGAGTGTAACAAAAAAGTGGTGTTAGAGGTGAGACGATTCATAGTTTACAGTTACACTGACATCCAGCAACCCACTGAAAACCTCAGTCATCATCAGTTGCTCTCTGTGTAAGAGCTTTGGCTAAACAGGTCGATTGTGAATGTTGAGCACATTTTCCTTGAGGTGGAATTTTAGCACATCAAGCATTTAGATGAAATACACATTTTCACATTGTGGAAACAGGCCCTTGTAGTAGAGAGTCAATTTGAAACTGAATATCTGTCATCTGTCAACACCAAGAGTTCTTTCCTGCCAACAGCAGCTCTGTGTTTGCATTATGATGACACTTTAACTGTGTAATTTACGCATCACTATCATTTTAAAACATACTGTGGATGTGACAGACAATAGACTGCACGCATGGCTTGCATAATGTGTAATATACTCATTTAACCACCAGGAAGTCTGCAAGTACCTTTTGTAAACCGCTGTAAGGTCACCGTTTGAACATTACAAAATGTGTCATGAGCCTTTTCTTTTTCCAAATGACTGACTTACTAACCTCTGCTTTCCTTTTCAGTTGTAGCTTTTTGCTGATCACATGTTCCACTTCAATTTTTCCTAAAATTGGAAAGAGAGCACAGAAGTCTTAGCATATGATAAAATACAAATTGTCAACATGCTGTTTTGTAATCTTAAGTAAGTTAAGTGTTTCGGACACACCCAAATTGACAACAGAGTTGCCAGGATACCTTGTCTACCCAGTACAAGAGACATACGAGACTGACATTTTTCGACAATGGCTGAAATGATTGACAGGGTGCTAATAGTTTGGTGCTGTGGATGCAGTCTGGGATATAGCATAAGTAAAATGACACCAGTCTTTAGATCCAATGTTGCAAAATCCAAAAGGAGACACACCTATGACAGCGTGTAGCAAGCACAATCTAGTGTCACCCAAGCTGAGCAAATGTGACTGCTCGTGGTTAAGGTTACTATAGGTTAGTAACAGCTGTCTGATGATTCAACAGTTAATTAGATCAATCACACAGACAATCAGCAGCAGCACTCCACCCATTTGTCAACAATTATTGTCAACATATAATATAGCAAAGAAAAACTGACTGAACTTGACATTTTATCAAAGACATAAGTTAGATTTTATTAAGGTATTTCCCCATTTTTTTCCAGAAACATTTTTTGAGTGGTCAGTATTTTTATTCAAAATATACAGAGAGTTCATGTTGTCCAAGGACATGTCGAAGCGCTGGTCTACAGCCACCATTTCTCATGATCACTTCACTGACCATCACTTCTTGTCTGTGTCACTATATGGAGAGGACAACATAATGGGAGTCACTTTTTGCCATAAGCAGTATCTACCCTGTCATTCTCTATCTGGTTAGCCACACTAACTGTACCACAGGTCACATCACAGTGCTTAAGAGGGACACAGCATCCCATGACATGGTTTCAGTGACTAATACATCCAGGAAATGTACTGAAATAAAAAAGAAGGTAGAAGCTGAATCAACATGCAGCTGAAATTCCACTAGAATAAGAGGTCAATATCTTCTTATTTGGCCCTGCTGATGAAGGAGATTTCCTTACCATTGCTGGTAATGTGGTTGTCTCCACTGCCTTGCTGGTGTTCTCCCTGGTTACATTCCCCATCCAAAGAGCTATCGAAATCAGGGACTGTGGGCAACTTATGAATGGCTCGGCAGCGAGACCGGAGGTCACTGTCATCCCCACTCTCCATCATCCTAAAGAAACAGGTACCTTAAACTTAAAAACCAATGGCAGCATTACAAGAATACTAAGGATACTGACAAACAAAGCAAACCCAGTTGACAATCACCCTCACATGACACGGACATGCAGCAGACAGACAGTTAGCTACCGTCAGCTGTTTTTTAAAGAGCCAGTATGACTGGCGGCGGATAAATCATAAGATAACTACACAGCTTTGAGCTAAATAGCCACCTGGCTTAGTCGTGCTTCTGTCTGGGTACACTTGAAGCGGATGATCTGGGTAACATAGTCAAATTAGCCAACTTGTTGACGTCTCTCGTTAGCTACGGACCAGGATGACAGACAAATAAGGAAATGTAAAAATGCCTACCGAATTCCTGGATACCCACTCGCTTCAACTGGCGGGTGCTTTCTTATTTAGTCGACCTCCGACGTTGCCGAGTTCAAAGTCTGATGTGTAACTCCTTTAATCACAACAACACGAGCTGCTGCAGCTGCTCACCTTCCCCAGAGGAGGCGATGAGCAGGGCAGCCGGCGCTGATTGGTCGAAAGTCTCTCCTCCTTTCTACGTCACCGGTGCTCAATGTTGACCATCTCTGTCCGCAGACTCTTAACTCATCAGTAGGCCTATACTTCACGACTTATTAAAAAAACAACCAGCTGACATCGGGCAAAAGGCGGGGTACACCCTGGACAGGTCGCCAATCCATCGCAGGGCCACACATAGACAAACAACCAGTCACACTCACACCTAAGGACAATTTAGGGTCATCAATTAACCTAGGCCGCATGTCTTTGGACGGAGGGAGGAGAGAACCCACGCAGACACGGGGAGAACATGCACTCCACACAGAAAGGCTGTCCACTGGACCACCATGCCGCCCTTAAATATGTGTATTATATTGCATAAATGCTTACTGACGAACAGAAACAAATAGTTGTATTTAGTAACTGAGTTTATGAAAAGGAACCATGCAGGCACACTTTTCACTTTTACATGAAATACTGAATGAATTAAGATTTAGATTTTGATGCAGGAACCCTGTTCAAGACAGGACACACCATACAACGTCAGTTGATATTGTACTTTACTAGAGCATATTCCCATATTCTCCCAAAAAGCTGCAATTAATAAAATAACAAACCCTGGGGGTAGTTGGCTTTGTGGCAATTGCCTGCTTTGCCTAGTTGGTAATTCAGCTTTGTTTATAGGCTACCTTTTGTTTCACAGCTGTATATAAAACGGTATTTATCAAAACTCTAGGAGAAAATCAAAAAAATCTTAGCCTTTCAATAGTAACACCACACATGTAGTAGAAAACATTAAACTTAGTATAACTTGAACTTTGTAAGGTGAGAAATGAGTAAACACAGGAAAACATCTATAATCTCAGAAATGAATTTTCTATCTAGTAGGTACTGTTTACCATTACACATATAATTAATATGTCCATCTCATATGCAATATTTACACCATAGGTGCTTTATAAAATATAATCATAAACACCACACAGGTAAAGGTATGTTATGCAAACTGAATCGAAATATACTCTCAATTGTTTTCGACCCTGTGCCCTCTAAGTAGAGCATGATGGGTCATAAATCATAAATTGAACTGGTGTTATAATTTTAGTGTGGTAAATACAGTTGAGTGTGGTAATTACAATTAATTGGAAACACATTTATGAAAATTAGGAACAGCATTATCTAATATAATGGCAACTTTTCCAACTGAGGACGCACATAACAACATATTTGCTTCCAGTGTTCTGCATGATTAAATGGCAAAAAAGCATCATGAGGGAATTTGTGAGGGAGGTGGGTTAGGGGTCTCAACATGCATTTGGTAAAAGGCAATTATATCATATTTGGACAATTCTGTATAGTCTGTTGAAAGAGACTCCATTTCAGTTGCCTGGTTACAGGCCTCAAATTGCACTTGTAATACAAAAATACTAATGTACAGTTCTTGTCTACAGAAGAAAATTAAGTCACACTGTAGGGCGCAAATCAATCGTACGGTACTAGTAATAGTCTTACTTGCTTTTCATTTCCTACTATGTGTGTGAAAAAACTCATCCAAGCACAACATATGAAAAACTGCATTAAACTCTGGATGATTGTGTTTTCTAACATGACATGACATAGACATATTAAGAGGACAGAATGTCCTGTATCATCAGTGGTAAACTTGACTGGTGTAAGAGCTCAACCTACACATTCTGTAATTACATTAAAAATCTTGTTAAAGTTTCACATAAAAAGCAGAAATCTACATTATAACCTAAATTCTAAATTGTAACTATTTTCAGTTCAGCATCTACTGAATGGTGCAGGCAGATTCAGTAAAGACAAAACAGATGCAAATGGCTGGATTTCATTCCACATGTTCAAATTCATGCTTTTATTTTGATAGGTCAGCACATCATTCCCCTGAGAGGATGATGAGACACTGACTACATGAGTTGTGATATAAACCCTTACAATTTCATGTCAATTTCATTTAAACATTCGGCGCTACATTAACATGTAATAACAATTATTAACTAAAATAGCTTCATATGAAACCCAGAACTGAAGAAGTCCTTTGGATAAGGGACGAAACGTCTTCCAGTATCTTCAACCAAGTCCAGTTGCCCTTCATTTTAACCCTCGTTGGATAACTATGACCTGGATGACTGAGAATCTTCATAGACATCTTCATATGAAACCATTTAACAATTTTTTCAGATTCTGACAATGCAATAAATATACACAAAATACAGTACAGAGCAAATAAATCTTAACAAAATGGTTCATGTAAAATATCTAGACACCACACATCCCTGCTTTCTATATAAAACAGATATTTACACTATTTCATATTGCACAGGCACACACACACACACACACACACACACGCACACACGCACACACACACACTACTCATAGGTCACAAGAAGCAGAGGGGTCCCAAAACAACAGTTGTCTCAGTGACAGGGGAAGATAGTGACCTCATCTCTACACCCAAATCTCTGACAGGAAGTAACTCCATATCACCACGATGTAGGTCCGTGCTCCCCCGAACCATCACAACCACCTCTACCTGTAAAATGATCAGACAGGAGACACGTGTTTACTTTGTTCTTTCTAATTCTTTTTTTGTAGTCTAAAATGTCTAAAAACAATGAAAATGCTTCTTTTGATTAATTAAATCTCCTTTGTTCCCATATCTAAATTACATTGGTAATTTACTTGGGAACATTCAGAGCCAATGCCGGAAGGCAGTGTCATGACTTCTGCATCTGACGCCTAATTTTGAGACTTAGTGAGGCGAGTAAAGCATGTGTGGTGTGTTTTTGTTGTCTGTTTGTCTCTCCTTTCCTCCTTTCTCTCCAGTTATGGAGTCCTGGGTGTGTCTGGCTGTCTGGTTTGGCAATCACACACCTGTGCCTGATCAGCCATCCCTACTGCTTCTTAAGGAGAGGCCAGACATCGATTCCCTGCCAGATTGTTAAACTGTGAACTGTAGGTTAAGCCTTAACATCTAGCTCCGTTGCCTGTGTTTGCCTGCAACTTGTCGCCTGAACTGATTCTTGTCTTCCTGTCTCCAGATAGCCTTTTCAACTTGTTCAGCCTGCCAGTCCTGAACCCACAGGGAGCCAGTCTCTTCCTGCCACTCTCCAGCCACCCACGCCAGCCCCAGCCCTCACCCTGCCTGCAACTCAGAAGGGAAGAACCCGTGCCCTCACTCTGCCTTTAGTTCTCTCACTCTACTGTTGAGAATAAACAAATAAATGTTTAAAGTGCTGCACCGTCTCCTCATCTGCATCTGGGAACTGGAATTATTCCTGACAGACAGTGTTTGATTTATTCATAGTTATACTACTTGACTGAATTTGTGACTTGTATTTTCTTTGGTCCCAAAAGAACTCTATGATCTGACACTAATGCAACACCAGTGTGTTCTGTAGCACTAAAATGTGATTTGCATTACAATTGTTTACATTTAGAGAAAGAAACAAATATTTTGGTCTTACCTCACTGCCTTTCCTGGACACTGTGGTGAGGTGTGAAATTATTTCTTTGCCAGAATCTCCAAGAAAGTGAACAATCTTATTGGCTGAATTAGTTGTGTCAGCAGTACTGGAGCTGTTTGCTATACAGCTGACAGTCATGTGCTGGAAAGATGTGTGGCTGTGTAACCGCAGAAACCTCAGCTGGACGACGTCCACACCAGCGTACTCAAACTATCAGAAACAGAAATCATTCAGTTTAAATGTGAGGAAAGTATTCTGAATCAATCTCCAAATGTGTTAAAATCTTACCTTGTTTCCTCCATGTTGCTGACTAAACCACTGGACAGACATTTTCGATTTCTTCTTTTCTGGTTCCCAACCTAATTTAATCTAAAGAATAGAATATCACTGATATTTTTAAAGACACTCCTGGCACCACCTTGTTTGTGTATTTACATTAATCAAAAAAGTATTAATCTTCCCCTGGAGCTAGGGGTTGGGTAAAATAGCTTTATGTGTGCTGCTTCCTACACATGCAAACACTGGTCTCTTTAGGAGATAAAGAAAAAATTATGTAGGAAAATGAGGTGATCTCAACTGACCAGCAATGTTATAGGGTATGTACAGTATATAGATATGTTGTAATGTAAAACCATGGGATCAAATCATGTTGTTGTTGCAAAACAAGAGACTGAATGTTTTCTATGTTCTTTTAACTATGCTGTGGACTTCCACAAGAAAGTGAACCCATTCCTCAGACAGCACTTTGCCTGCTAATGTAAACCCTTGTAGGTGAAAATGAGTACCTGTGACTGTAAAGGGTTGATGCAGGTTGTTCCTCCTGCTGTGAAGTTACAGAATACCTTCACAGCATCGTAGGGGCAGCCTTGGTTGGGGTCCATGTAAAAATAACCTGAAAGATAATCGACTTGAGTGCCTGATCGTTTAGACTCATTTGGTATACAGTGTGTCGTCAGAAACAGATTTACATCACGTCATAGTGATGAGCCTATTCAGTCCCTCACCGTCATTCAGATGTGGGTGAATGAGTCCCAGCTCGTAGCAGGTGGTGGCAGGGTCGCCTTTGGTTCCCTGGGGCCAGCTGAAGGATTCCTCAGCCTCATCTCCTTCAGACCATCTCCTGGACAGCAACCTGGGCTGCTACAGAGCAATCCATCATTCAATCAGACAACCAAACATTCAGCCAACTATCAATCCTAAAACACCTCCTTGAATACAAATCATAAAATAATACAAAACAAATGAGGACATTGTGTAAAAAAGTGTATATAAGAAGAACTTACTTTTTGTTGCTCTTCCCTTTGCCTCAGAGGGCTGGTTGTCTGTCTGGATTTTGGTACATTTTTTAATTTCAGTCTTGTATAGGGTCTTGTTTGGGGTCTGTGCTCATTTCTTTGACCTGATTTCGGCTCAGGTTCTGATCTCCGTCTTTGTGTAGGCCTTTGCTTGCCTGGTGCACCTGGCTTTCCCTGCAGAACAAATGACTTCGCTTTGAGAGCATGGTACAAAAGTCTCGGCAAATAAACAGTATTCACTGCAATCAAGCTTAAAATGCATGTTAAAAAAGTCTGTTACAGTTAGGATTGTGGATCAGGTCAAACATTTGTTCACTTGTATTGTGTGAGCAAAATGTCTTACTGGAGGTCCAGGTTTTCCCTTTGCTCCCTTTGGTCCTTTCCCGCCTTGGACACCTTTCATTCCCTGTAAAAACCCAACATAGTCAGGCTCTGTCTGAAGACAACTAAAGCGTAAAAACAAATCTCACTATCTGCAATCAAGGTAAAGATAGAGGCAACTAAAAGTAATGCAACTAAAATCAGCTGTGCACCAAAATGCTTCCTTTACAAACATAAATGTCTATGAAGATTCTCAGTCATCCAGGTCATAGTTATCCAACGAAGGTTAAAATGAAGGGCAACTGGACTTGGTTGAAGCTACTGGAAGACGTTTCGTCCCTTATCCAAAGGACTTCTTCAGTTCTGACTGACTGGCAGGGAAACTCAGCTATTTAACCTCAGTTAACCTCAGAGGTTAAATAGCTGAGTTTCCCTGCCAGTCAGTCAGAACTGAAGAAGTCCTTTGGATAAGGGACGAAACATCTTCCAGTAGCTTCAACCAAGTCCAGTTGCCCTTCATTTTAACCTTCGTTGGATACAAACATAAAGTGAAAACTATAACTGTAATTTCAGGATGTTGACTTTTTTTGATAAAACAGAACTAAAACAGTACTCTTAATCTGTAATCATATCAGGTCCAGGAAGACATGGAAAGCTGCAAAGTCACAAATAAAAATCAACAAAAATTGTAAAAAAAAGAAAAAAAAAAGAAAAAAAGAAAAAAAAGAAAGAGGAATAAACAGCCTCTCACCTTCTTTCCAAGCTGGCCCTGTAACAAACACAGAACAGAAATAACTTCAGCAAAATGTTTCAGTAAACTATTTTAAAGTGTAGAATATCAAAGCAACGTACAGGAAGTCCAAGGAAACCTTTTCGCCCATGTGGACCACGAGGACCGCTATCCCCCTGTGAAAATCAGTCAATTGATTAATAACTTGCTACATGTTAAAAAGCATTGCAAAAAGAAAAGTTAAACACAACTTACCAGCTTTCCTTTTTGACCTATCTGACCTTTGAGCCCCTGCAAACCAGGATTCCCCTAAGATAAAAGTTAGAAATATAGACGAACTGAAATGATGTATTTTTTTGCATTTTAAAATTATTTCATATTTTTTTATCCAACCTTTAGCCCAGGTGGCCCGATTGGTCCCAGTATTCCTGTGTCACCTGGGAGACCCTGTCGGTGAAGATAAGAAGGACAGTTACATGATTCTCAGATAATGATAGTACGATGAACGACAGTAATTTACGTCTGATTTCTGCACGTTTGTCAGGGCTTATTATAAAATCTTGAAGCTATGCAACTGACTACTTCTAAAAGACTAAATAATATTTAACGACTTCTAAAGTACATTCAAATGACTTCAGTATCAGCAGATGATGAGTAGAACATACACAGTACAGAAACATGATAAGACAAAATATCCATTAAAGCAATATGAGAAACTACAAAAAAAGCCATATGTCTTACAAAAAGTATTATTAAAACAGGTTTATACTCCTGTAAATATAAAAAAACATATTCTAAATGTTAAAAAAACATATTTGGTCTCATCCAGGTGGGGTGAGGTACTGCACTTTGTCAGGCTTTTACCTTCGGACCAGTAGTTCCAGACTCTCCCTTCTCTCCTCTCAGTCCTGGAATACCCTGTATAAAGGACCAGCGATAATATTATAAAGGTATTATGTTAAGTTTATTAGTGATCTTTTATTAACTTGAATACCTTTGGCCCCATTGGTCCAGGGGGCCCTTGCTTTCCTTTGTGTCCAGCTTTACCCTGAGAGACAAACAGGACATCATGTTAAAAACTTTTATCCTGACAGAGTGAATTACATAAATGAAAAGTGATAATTTTATACAATGCTCACACTGAACATACTGTTCATATAATTATCAGTATTCTCTTAAATTAAAATAAATGACATGATATTGTACCTTAAAGCCTGGTGCCCCAGTGTTTCCCATGATCCCAGGTGGTCCAAGTTTTCCCTAGAGAATTTTAATATCACAAAATTCATCTGAAGGCCAAACTAAAACAGATATTTATGAATGGGGGAAGATTCCCATGGTTTTATGGAGCAGGACTCCATATTATCCATCCATGTCTGTATTGCAGCTTACCATTTTGCCAGGGCTGCCAGTTGTTCCAGGAGCTCCTCTAAAACCCTTATCACCCTTTGGGATGGGCAGGTGAAGAACTGAATTTAATACAAAGGTTGAAAAACAGACTAAATTGCAGTATGGTACCTTTTTCTTACCGGATCACCTTCATTACCCTCAACCCCTAGTAAACCATCCAAACCGCTAAGGCCCTGAGAACACGATCACAAGACAAGAAACCAATCGTCAAGGCATGCCTCACTGTTAAAATACAACTACAACAACAGTTTAAGTTGCTAAACTTTCTGGGTTACATGTTATTTTAATTTTTATACTTGAAATGAAGAGTCCTGTACGTATTTTATCTGTTAAAAGGGATACTTGCTGGTTTTCCAGGTCGTCCAGCAGCTCCAGGTCTACCCTGCGGGCCTTCAGCTCCCTACAAAACAGACGTTATTAGATGGGCGATGACGCAGTGGATAAGACGCATGCCTTTGGTGTGACCGTGACTGACATAAACAGCTATTGTAAATGGCTTTGGCTAAAAGTGTCAGCTAAATGAATAAATGTAAATGTAAAGAGAGGCAGAGATTAACTCAAGAAAACACAGAGAGGTAGAGATTAAATCAAAGACCACACATTTGTCTTGGGTTTTTTGGATCAGACAACCATATCTGATGATTGTTTTTTTTTTCAGATTAAAATAAAACTCACAGTTTTTCCAGTAGCTCCTTTATCGCCTTTCCTTCCAGGCTGGGCTCTTTTCCCCTTTATAAAGACATCTCCATTATGACAACTGTTTTATTTTTTCTGTTTCAGATTTTCATCTGAGCTGAGCACTGGCTTCTTCTTACCTTTGGCCCGTGTATTCCTTTAGTTCCTGGAAGACCGGGAGGACCAGCAGGTCCACGTTGACCTTTAGCACCTGCAGTGCCAATGAACCCTATCTTCCCCAATGTCCCCTTAAAAATACAGTCACACACATAAATGATACTATAATATGACCTCCATTTACTGAAGATTCAGATTTCTGAAACTGATAAAACACCAGAACACTCAATAACACTGCATGGTCTAATTACAAAGGCTGAGCTTTGCAAACCTGATCCTTGTGAGCTCAAATATGCTCTTACCATTGTGCCTCTTGTTCCAGGTTCTCCTTTTGCACCCTTTTGACCTCTAATGCCCTGGAGATTACAGACGGTTACATCGTGTCACACCTTTAGACATTCCATTAAACATGCTTGACCACATTAATGATGGCCACAGGCAGGGTTGAACAATTAATCAAAGCATTATCGAAATCGCACTGTGGCCAAGTTCAATGTCCAAAACGCAAGAGTTGCAATTTTTTTCGGTAAATGCCCCGGCCTACAAATCATACTCTCCAGACGTGAGGAAACCTGCTTGTTTAGTACAGACCCCAGCAAAAGTAAAAAAATCATAACTTTTATATATTTTTTGCAATGAAAATGAATTTCAAAATTTTACTATTCCCACTAAAATGGCGACGCAGGTCCTGTGGTCGTTCAGCACTACCTGTTGAGAATACTTCTTAAGGGGCTTTGTTGATGTAACAAGGTAAGACAGGTCTAGCTTAGAGTAATTTAACTGATCCCATAAGTGTTTTCTGAACTTCTAGCTCTAGGTATTTCTCACATATACTTGTCCTTGTCAGGAAGACAACAATAGACTGATTAGGTAGAGATAGTAGTTCATGCGTCAGGCTAGCAGATAGCGTAGTGTGAGATAGTGTTCTCTGGTAATCACACAAGGTTGAGTCCTACTAGAATGTTACAAGAACTCACTGGCTCCACAGATTAGAGTACAACTTACGGACTTTAGGAGATTCCAATATGGTGTAGCACTGAAGTCTAAACATCAGATAGAGTTGTTGTTTTAGGTTAAGGCCAGCTAAAATGACCTAAAGGGAAAATCTACAGGCACTAGGGGGAAGACAGAAACATAAAAGGGACCAAAAGATGTTATCCTTCAGATTTGGTGTTGGCATTGCTTGTGTTCACACGTTGGATGCTGATACTCTTTCTCCTTGGCCAAGTCTCATTAAACACTGCTGTGCAAAACTTCATACTTCACTTCAAAAATCAGTCTCCGAAAATCTTCTTTCTCACACCTGACAGCTGGCTCACAATAATTCTTCAACACTACCCACAAGGTGCAACACATAATGAAAGCCCACCGTGTCTCCTTTGATGCCTGGAAGACCGAGCTTGCCATTCTCACCATGTGTACCCTAAGTCGCACAAACACACAACAGAGACAGCATTACATTTATTATGTGAACCACTACAGCTGGACAGGTCACACTTTGAGCATTTCACAGCCATCAGAATGAATAAATGGTACATTACACCTTTGGTCCAGGGATTCCACTTTTTCCCTCCACACCTCTCTCGCCTGGCAGACCCTGAAAAAACACATTAATACATGTTTTATAACCAATTATGTGAAGAAATTGTTAAAAATATGAAACATTAATCAAACAATAAACAGGATCATGCATTAAGTTAAGTCATATTTGTTTTGTATGGCAACCTTGATGGGCTTCACCCACCAATTAATGAAAAGCTGTTTTATGCACAGTCTGTGCAATCTTATTGTAGAAAATCTTAAATTGAAGCATAACTACACACAAACTGAGAAACTGCTTTTGCTGCCATCTAGTGGTTTAATTTTCAACATGGCGCATGCCACACTAAAATGTTCAACTACAGATCAGGGTGGCCTGGATGTGACTAGGTTGAAACTTTTAGCTCATAAAAGTCAACACAGCTATTTTATTTTTGATTTTATAATAAACATTTTGTGTGGAGTTATACTGAACATATATTGAATAGTGTGTGGTAAACATGTTATTGCCACATTAAACACATACTGGTGCTGATGGTCCAATTTGTCCGGGGGGACCTATACTGCCAGGGGGACCCTGGATTGAGGAGGCATGAAACGTACATTTAAATCTCATGTCATATTGAAACAATAATACTGCAATTCTCTGAATCACAAATAAAAAAAAATAAAAAATATATATTTTAGTAACCACGACATAAAAAAGGCAAGTTGCAGAACATGAAGCTCATCATGATTGGTATTAGTCATCATCATACAGCATTTTTGACATAACTGAAAATCCAACTGTGTGACTACTACTACTAACAGTGTGTCCCTGGAGCCCCTTCTGGCCTTTGGTCCCTGCTGCCCCAGTGTTGCCCCCTGGTCCAAACTGTCCAGGCATGCCTGAAGAACCTTTGGTGCCTGGCTCACCCTGTGAAAGCATCGTTATTATCATCATAAATTGCAGAGCCAAACTCTAAACCAAACTTTCACCATTCATTTAGGAGGCTTTGACCACAACATCAATTCTCAGGTCAAGTCCAACATTGCTTTTGACCAACTAAAATTACTCACTTTGAGCCCTGGGACTCCAAGTGCTCCTCTGTCACCTGGTGCACCCCTGTATCCCTGCAAAATAGGATTGATGGTGAAGACAGAGCAGAGGGGACACTCCGTCTTGTTCTGTCTGATTTGAAGACACATTTATTAACAGTCTGGAAGTTGTAAGAATGCAAATGGCATTGCCTTGCATCATTAATCTCACACTGTATGAAATTGAGAGGGGTTATAATATTCTAGTAACCCTTTACTTTAGAAATAACTCCTACTTACCTGTTTACCTTGTGGCCCCTTTGCTCCCTGTGGCCCTTGGTTGCCTCTGTTTCCTTCACCTCCCTTTGGTCCTTTCTGTCCAGGAGGCCCAGTGTTCCCCTTGTCACCCTGAAATATGAGTAAAACAAATGGTTTTCAAGTTTGATTGACACATTTATGTTCCATCTACATGCAGGGTTATGAAGACCGTGTAAGACATTTTATCCACTGTTTAAAAAAATAAAATGAAACATATACAAATTGACATTTACTCACTGATATGCCTCTTTGTCCAGCTGGCCCCTCAGGTCCCCTCAGTCCAACTGGACCCTAAAACACAAAAGCACTGGGTTACTTGTACACATGATCAAGTATACATACAGCTGACTTTTCACACAGTCAAATCAATAGCTTTCGTAGGCCTCTAATCCTGTGTTTTTAGAAAATCTGACATTTTAGAGCCTTTGCATTCAGTTAAATAAAAAAAGATAGAAATCAGATCTGTGACAAACACATTCTAATCAATCTACCTCCTCACCATCGAGACCAGCAAGTCCCTCCTGCCCCAAAGCTCCTGTGGATCCCTGAAAAGAACACATGTAGAGACATGTCTTGCACAGACCACTCCATCACTACACTACTCTTGTATACAGCATTTTGTGGCGCATTTAAACAACAAATTACAGATACCTGAAGCATGTTGAATGCAGATCAGTAAAAGAAAAGATTTACCTTATCTCCTTTGACACCACCTAATCCAGTTGGTCCTTGAGGTCCATCTTTACCCTAAATAAAAGGGAGAGAACAAGCAACGATTGAACAAAAAAGATTGATGCACTGAACATTCCAGACTTACAACCTACTCAGTGCCCTGAAGGAAGACAGGATGCTTGTGCACAATAAACTCATCTTAGTGAACTTGGAACAGTTTTGTGTAGCTTAAAATGTATGTTAATTTGTATTTACAAATAATCATATGTAACCTTTATCATATGCAAAATACTGCACAATCAACTATACTATTATTGTTCAACTCCACAGGCAGACGGTGTTGCATTACTGTTGAACTAGTTTTCATTTCTCTCTAGCGAGTTCATGCATGAATTTAGGCTACAGTGTAGTGCAGCAGTACTGACTTGGAGCAACAACATGTAATTGGTCAAAAACAAAATTCCTCAGCGTTCAGGACCTGAAGTTTGTACCTCTAAAACACTTACTAATAGAATAAAAATAAACTTACTGGGTAACCTGCAACTCCAATGGAGCCAATTGGACCTTGTGACCCCTGGTCACCTGGAGGGCCACGAGGCCCAACCTCACCCCATGGTCCAATGTTACCCTGGACACCCTGGCAGGAAAAGAATATATATTCAGGAAAACAACATAAATAACTTTTGTGTATCAAGATAAATGTATGTATATTTTTTTTAAATATCATTCACAATTGTCATGAAGGAAGAAGTTAAGGACTGGATTAATGGATGGAAGTATTTGTTTGGAAAGAATTAATCATCTTACAAGAGGTCCTCTGTATCCCTGTGGTCCAGGCATACCCATCTCACCCTGAAAGACAGCAAGACATGATGTTAGACATAGTGACATTATACACATAAAGCAGCACTGGTGCAAAATGAACTGCAGAATTGAACATAATAACAGAAAATAATTCACTCACTGGGCGGCCTTGTGCCCCCCTTGGTCCCTCCTCACCTCTCTCCCCCTTCACAACAAATATAACAAGGAGAACACAACATTAAACTGCAAAATGTATACCATGAGAGTGTAACCAAGTGAACACATATCTCCACACATTACAGCTTACAACACAGACTGACATACATATATATATATATTAATTGACAACCATGAAGCGTTGAATTAACAGATACCTTTAAGCCTTCACTTCCTGGTAGCCCTGCTGGGCCATCTTTACCTTTAACCCCCTAAAGGAAACCAACCCTTCATTAATCTCAACATCATCATGGCTACAATCAAAATATCAAAAACTTGCAGTTCATTATCATCTAGTATCACATCTTTTCTCAGCAATCTCAACCAGTTTTACTGTGTTGTGGCACCACAAGAGTTTGCACTGTAATATCCTGAAATGCCAGATGGTGATTTTGTAACTTGCTCTTTCTCCAGGCTTTCCAGATGTCCCCTTCTTTCCTCTGCCGCCAGCTTCTCCCTGTTGATTGACACAGATATATAGCTATCTAAAGTAACATATTCTATCAGCAGCACATGCACACAAAATTTGCACCAACTACATGTGAATGTACATATAAATTTTACCTTCTTGCCACCCTGAAACTCCTCCCATTTACTCTTGAAGCTGGGGTAGGTATGTTATTTCAGAGGTATTTTTGTTATATTTTGAAATTATCTTTACATTCTGACAGCAATCAATTAATCAAACGCTTTGACACAAAAATGAAAAAACTCTGGCATCTGTGGCTGTGGCAGGACTGTAATAATCATAGCCAATCAGTTCATTCGGTCGAATGAAATTAAGTGGCTGGCCAACCTGCCTGCCTACCTCCGTGCACTCACTGCACATGAAAATGTGTTTTGGGGGAGTTACTCTGGAGGGAGGCCTGAAGGGAGCAGGTGGGATATGATTGTTAGTTTTTCCAACGTTGCCTACCACAGCTTTAACAGAAAGATCTTTAGTTTGATTAAATAAGAGTTAAAAAAAAAGAAATCTAAAACAAAGGCGAATAACACTCACACTTTTCCCTACAGGTCCTTGGAAGCCAGGGGCTCCTGTCTTCCCAGGTAATCCCTGTGTAAAATATTTAGTAGAGTATCAGTTATCCATTTGTGACACTGTAAGGCTATTTACTAAACTGTTTATTATAAACGGGTAAACTCACTTTTGGACCAGGAGGTCCAGTGTCCCCATTCATTCCATTTGCACCAATGGATCCCTGACAGAAAGATGATATTAGTTTGTCACAGTCTTTCCCAGTCCTGGTTACCCTTTTAATAGCCCCATAGGAAAGTAATTTCTAAGCAATATCTACTATTGACTTAAAAAAGAGAACACCAAATTGAAACTTCTTGGATATGTATTGCAGCTGGCTGATTGCGCTTCCTAATTATGGTCTACTATACAATTACAATACTATACAGTTTGTGCTGTGTTTCTCCATGAATACCACTACCATGACAAAGAAAATCAAAAACACATTTGACACTCTATCCACGGATGTGGAAAAATCAGTCCAGCATAAACAACATTTAGAGGCCTTTATTGTCTGGAGGCCATGAAGAAACATAAACATGGAATTTATGAACTCTATGAGGTGACGTGGTTGGACAAACTCAAAAATATGAATGTAAATGTATTGTTGGTTGGTCTTACCATGGCTCCTAGAGGTCCATCCTGTCCCCTGTTACCTAAATGACCTTGAAATCCCTAAGATGGGACACAGATATCGTGAGATCTTTTGGCAGTTGTTGGGGTGTTGCTCTTGTGGAATTCTAAAATTCTATTTATTTCAACTGGAGTGAAAGGTTACATGACATTCAAATATCAAAAATATTAATTGTAATTGTAATTCTGATCACCTTTAGGCCTTTAGGTCCACTCATTCCTAGGACTCCAGGCATTCCCTGCACAAAATATTTACACATATAAACACATTCCCTTATTAACATCTGTATTAGCAGCAAATTCTCCTAAATCCTAAATTGCATGAACATTTTCATTTTCAGTTACAAATAGACTTATAAATGGGAAATTAATGTTTGAAATAAGCTTGTCAGGTCATTATGAACTGACAATATTTTTTAAAGTCTACAATGTACAGATATGATTGCAAAGATATATAACAGCTTTGAAAGAATGTTAACCTGTTAATGAAATCATGCATATTTTTTAAGTATTGATTAGTAAAAGTAATGATATCTTTGGTCACATAAAGACAGAAAAAAAAGTATAGCCACATAGGAACCTTAATACCAGGTTCTCCTTCACGTCCCCTCTCTCCTGATTTTCCCATCTCTCCCTGTAAGCAGAAAACACAGCCACTTCAGCAGTATGGATTTAGCACAATGATCAGCATATACAATAAACTCAGTGTCCACTCACTCATACTCACAATTGGACCAGGCAATCCAGAAAATCCTGCTCGACCTACTCGACCCTTTTAAAGGAAAAATTACCATAACTTTATTAATATCCAGTCCAGGAGTTTCCACTCAAGGTGTAATGCTAATTTCATTGGCAATATTCACAAATTGAAATAATAAAAGTTAATTGACTGTAAAAATCTGAAAATATTGAGAAATGTTGTCGCAATTGCCCTGAGTCCAAAGTGACACCGTCACAATGCTTGTTTTGTCAGTCCAAACCTCAAAAATATTAAAAATACATCAAAAGTATCAAAAGCAAAAGCAGCAAATCTTCATATTTGTGAAGCTGGAACCATCAAATGGTTTTACATGAAAAATGTCTTAAACCATCAAAATAGTTGTCAATTAAATTTCTGTCAATCAGCGAATGTAGGATTTTCTAAACTCTTCATATGTTTTGTGTGTCAAAATCTGACTTTGTAAAGTAACTAACTGAAGCTGTCAGATAAATGTAGTGAAGTAAAAAGTTTCAAAAATTTCTCCCTCCGGAGTCTAAGTAGAAGTGGAATGAAAAGTACAAATACCTCAAATAATTTGTACTTAAGTACAGTACTTGAGTAAATGTACTTAGTTACTGTCCACCACTGTAAAAGTGACACATGGCGCCAACTCAGATGCAGTCACTAAAAGAAGGGTATACTGACACCTGTGGTGAATTACATGTATCATCAGTATTTTGCATGTTTTTGATATTTTGATTGTAGCCATGTGTATATTTGTAACTGCACTGGACTACGTTTCTACAAAATGTTGCATATATAAAATATGACAAGGACAACAAGTTTCTTATATTTTATTTTTGGTGCCAAGTTGTAGCTGTCGGACATAACAATAATCCCCTCATACAAATATTAAAATAAAGAAATGTTTTGGTCTTTTATCAATTTTCCACTTATTCCACATTAATTATATTATTCAGCATCCATCTTGGTCCTACCTTGTCGCCTCGAGGCCCAGGAACTCCGTGAATACCATTTGGTCCTCTGTCTCCCTACAAAACACACATGCACAATTTAACAAACATTTATTTTCCAGTAGAAAAAACAAACACAAATCTAGATTCTTCCAACTTTCTGAAAACCCACCTTTAGTCCATCTTTTCCCTGCTTTCCTTGCTCCCCCAAGATGCCATCAAACCCCTACAATGATGAAGGTAGGTATAGAACCAAACCTGATTATTACAGTCGCTATAGCATTGTTTGTGAACATGTCTCGATTCATTAAGTTTATTTCACTCACACTGGGTCCGGGAGTTCCTGGTGGCCCTGTTGGTCCTTCAAGTCCCTGAAGTCCTAGAGGGCCTTGACGCCCTTTAAATCCTTGTTTACCTGGAGGTCCTGGAGGTCCCTGTGCACAAACACAACAAGTAGCGACTGATCTGGTCAATTAACTGATCAATAATCAACTGAACAAACAGACAGGAAAGATCAAACTCACCAGGTCTCCTTTAAACCCTGGGTCACCATTCTCACCTCGCTTGGCTTTAGCCCCCTGGTAGACAAAAGTGCACACACACACACACACACACACCTGCACATTTAGCACTATAGCCTACAGCTTGATATGGTTAAGATAATTATATATTGCCATACATTATAACTGAACATATTAGCTGCAGTCAATATTGAAATTGCTTTAAGTAATCTTACAGGATCACCTGAGGGTCCAGGCTTGCCTGGATTCCCATTGGCTCCCTGAAATGAGAACGACAAACCTTATACTGATGTTCCAACATGACAAACTTGCTGCAGTACATCTGAGTATATATCTTCTCTGGTGATTAATGTTGCTTTGCAGAGGGTTTGTCATTGTTGTCTTACATTAAGTCCAGGTGGTCCAGGTTCCCCTATTTCCCCTTCATCTCCTGGATCACCCTGTTGAAACACACAAAGGGCAGATGAAAGAGTGATTTCACAATGACAGCTACACTCTACTGCTGCGTTTACAACTTTTGCTTGTGGTTGTTTTTCCTTAAAGTGTACTCACAGGGCCACCTTTAGGACCCGGAGGTCCATCTGGTCCTGGGCTTCCCTGCAAGGAAAAAAGTTATTTTATCATAACGCTTTGTCTTCATACTGAGAAGTATGACTGCTGTATATGGAGAACGTTTCACAAAGAGACAACCACTGGTTTGTAAAAAGAAATATTGTATGAAAGTAAGGCATGTTATTGGTCACAATTAACAATTAACTTTACCACATTGTCTCATGGCCTACACATGACCAAACTACCAAGTCAAATCCCCAGTTGTAAATACAAGGACAGACCAATTAATTGGTCGGCTGATTAATGGTGAGATTATCTGGCATTTCGAGATAATCAGCATTGGCTGATAATTGCCCTCTCAAGGCCGCTATGTCATCCTAAACGACAGAAAATCTCATCTAAAATCATTACTGACTACCAATAACTGTATAGTGTTATACTATAGAGAATAATGCAGTTGAATCACTTGTGACAAACTATACCCCACTCTCCCTTAAACACCAGTCATGTTCAGAAACCTACAGCATAACCCAATGTATTTTTCTATTTTGTTAATTAATAAAAAATTCCATTTAAAACAACACGTTACTGGCTAAGATAACCATGTGTAATAGATTGTATTCTGCATGGAATAATGGAATTACAAACCACAAACCAAGTTACAATAACACACTGATTCTGTTTCTGACTCTGACCAAACTGATTCTGTAATGAAACGCTTAAAAAGGTTTTGTTATACCTGGGGGCCCCGGACACCAGGAAACCCAACTGCTCCATCAGGACCAGGCTCTGCCTGAAGCAATAGATGTATTTACAGGTTAGATATTTGTTCTGTCATTATTTGATCTCTGTGAGAAAGAGTACATCTCTACGTGTCTTGTCACCTGTGGTCCAGCTACTCCTCTGGCGCCCAGATCACCCTGATGACCCTGATAGCATAAAATATTGTTTCACAAATATCTTTTTATTAATCAATTTGGATTACAACTTGATCGACTAGTCGTTCACTTACTGGAGGTCCTTTAACTCCTAAGACACCTTTTACCCCTCTGGGGCCCATTTTGCCCTGAACAGAAGACATATTAATAAATCCACATCTTACTTCAATGGTATCTCAATATTTAATCCAACATCCTCATTTTATGAAGACTTTATAGTATATTGTGGTAGAAAACTTACAGGTGGGCCCGGTGGTCCACTAAAGCCTGGAGATCCAATCTCTCCCTGAAAATAATCAGCAGGGTGTTAAACAAGAAAATGGAGTATATTTATATAATTATTATTTTTTATGGATTATTGTCCCACATTGAGCTGCCTGACACTGACCGGAGGTCCTGGTGGTCCTGGAAACCCAGAAGGACCCCTGGCTCCAGGCAGGCCCTGTAAACATGGGACAGTCCAGATGTTGCAATGTAGAAATTCACTTTACATAAATGTGGTGAAAATGATCACTTTAACAACCATCAAGCACAGTGAAAAGGTCTTGTGTATTTTAAATTGTACTTTATAATAAATTTATAATGAGACGCAACAACAGGGGCTGTAAACAGTCAAGTCATCGGTACTTACTATGTAGCCAGGGACACCAACAATGCCTCTGACTCCTTTTTTTCCCTGGTTACAAAAAGGAAAATTTGATTCCCATGTTACAGCCATCTACTCCTAAAAATATGTATGTAGTGGATGCTGAATCTGACCTTGTATCCTTTTTGTCCTCTGTTTCCCTGTGGTCCAACATCCCCTTGATAACCCTAAAGACAGAGTGAAGTGGTTTAACAAAAAACTATAAATGAAAATGCTTGTGTCGGACAATAAAGTGCCATCTTTACAAAAGAATTGGGATTTGTGCAGATAACCAACACTTCTGTTATACCCACTGCTAACAATCTGACACATGAATATGAGCAGCTAAAATAGTGTCCGGTAGCTACAAAAAATAAAAAGCCAAACTCAAAAAAAAGAGAGATGGATAGATACATAGATTCAGATAGACAGACTTGGGCTTCCATAATTTAAATTCCCATAACATTAGAAGTCCAGGCCACTCTTACCCACTCACCCAGCTCCCCTTTGCTGCCTTTCTCCCCTCTGTAGCCTTGAGGACCCTATGCGAAACAAAGTGAATTCATCAAGCTGCAACAGGACTGAACTTATGGGTGGAATATACATATCAAAGGGTATTAAGGAGCTGTTTGACTGCATTACAGCTATGAAAATACACACAATTTTGCATACACACATATTTACCTGTTCTCCAGGTAAGCCTGGAGGGCCTGGATCAGGGTACTGTCCTGGGGTCCCGTCTCTTCCTGGTCGGCCCTGGGGACCCGGCATACCTTGTGGTCCAGGACTGCCCTGAAGTACAACACAACATGTAATGTAGTTTGCCCGGTGTCTGAACTTTTACAGCAAAAAAGCAGATAATAATTTGATATCTTTTCTTCTTTATTTCACAAATCAGTAATTAAGTCGTTTATTTAGGTTTATTGTACCATATTCTGATCCATTGCTGTTTTATTGTATCGTGAGTGTGCTTGCTGTTAAAAAACACACTGAGTAGCAGTATGTTGTTGGGTCATTGGAGCAGACGTGGTAGTGAAAATGGCTGTCTGCTATGTGTCATGTCCGTCTTTTACTCCACTTCCACTTATTGTTTATATATACTCATTTAGCTGACGCTTTTATCCAAAGCGACTTACAATTACTATTTATGTCAGAGGCCGCTCAGAGCAACTAAGGGTTAAGTGTCTTGCTGAGGTGGATGGGTCACAATGGGAATTGAACCCGGGGCTCTCACACCAAAGGCATGTGACTTATCCAATGCACCATCACCACCCCAGTAAACCCCATAGTAAACCCTCAAAACCAGTAAGTACACCCTAGCTTCCACTCAGAAGCCACATAATTACCACCTAACATATCCGGGCGATATTCCAGCATAGGAACAGCTTTGAACACCAGTCTGAACCAGTCACCATAACAATTACTTCCACCGTGATAACTATCTTATCACACCTTTTCACCTATCACTCCTAACACCTAACACCCTAGCACTGTAGCAACAACCTGGAGATGTTTGCTTAGTCAGCAGAACAGTAAGCATATATTTCATTGACAAAATTACACCATCACAACCTGACTCTGTAACTCCATGTTGTTCTACATGAATCAGTCAACTCAGTTCGTTATCAATCAAAGTCATCATTATGATTTCAGTGTGGAGTGTTTGTCACAAGCAGTGCAGAGACTGTAATAATGTAGTGTGCATGGAACTTAACATTAAAGCATTAAAGTGTCTGATGAGCCCATAAACCAGCAAAGCCTCTCTGTGGACTTTGATAAGATGCAAATAAATTAGAGATACCTACGATTTTTCCTTGAACTCCTTTTCGACCTTGCTTCCCAGTAATTCCAGGTGGCCCCTGAAATAACAAAATTAGGACAGAACAGGAGTCCTTAAACAACATCTTTATGTTTGGTATAGTCATGGTATGATACAGTTTAAACCTAGATTCCTGTTTGCCTTTTCAAGTTATCTTTAACACTTCTGTGGACTTACAATTGGTCCGTCATCTCCAGGTAGTCCTGGAGGCCCTGGAGGCCCCTTATGTTTCTGAAGATAAAAAACAACAAAGTCTTAAGACTCAGTCACAACAAGTCCTGACAAGTTCATTTATTTATTCATTTATTTTTTATTTTTTTAAATTTTTTTTTACAGTGGACTGTATTTACACTGTAAATAAAGTAATAATATTATATGTTGCTGGAGTGGACAGGATTTTGGCTCAGTGGATTTCAACTAAGCAGTGAAAGAAAAAAATTTCAAATGCATATATTTCAACAAACACCTACCGGCCAGTAAGAAATCAGCTTTTTATAGATCTTCTTTTTCTGTGAGAAAATAACAGAGAAAATATAAATTTTATATTGTAAACCTACTTCTCTCAAAAATGATTCTTACATAGACTTGAATTAAATATAACACATTCAGAACAATAACCAAAGCATGAGAAATGTCAGCAAGAAACATTGACTCTGTTGTAAAATACAGATCTAAACTGGGAAATTTGCTATAATAATGTTATGTGGCTGCGATGGATTGGCGACCTGTCCAGGGTGTACCCCGCCTTTCGCCCGATGTCAGCTGGGAATGGCTCCAGCCCCCAGCGACCCTGTATGCAGGATAAGCGGTTGACCATGGATGGATGGATGAATGTTATGTGGTTTGCGATATATTAAATATATAGAGGTGACAAAAGTCAAACATACAAAGCATGTGTGACAATGTGCTAGTATGATTTTTTAATATTTCTACTGTTTGTGTTTTCAGTCATTTTGGAATAGCTAGTATATTGGCTTAATATTACTTACATAGATTAATTTCCACATTCATACTTTCAACATAAATTCAAGTGTTAAGCACCAAAGGCAAGTGGTTACTGGCGAGTGGTTACTGGTGCAGAACAACAACACAACAGCAGTTTACCTTGAAAGCCTCCCACTCTTCTTCAGAGGTTTTAAATACAACAATGGCAGGCATCCCTGGAGGACCAATGGGGCCTCTATATCCTGTCCGCCCGGTCCTGCCCATGACGCCTTGATAACCCTGAGAGGACAGAAAACAATATGTCTCTTTGATGTGGAAAACAGGATGAGTTTTATTCTTTACACTTGTTAAAGCACTTTGTAACTTGTTTTTGAAAAGTGCTCTACAAATAAGGATTATTATTATTATTATAGTTTATATTGCATTGTCTACATTTTGATCAGCGCTGACAGAGATAATAATCTGTCTGTTTTTCGTCCAAAATTGACAATTCAAGGCTGCATTTAGCCATTTTTGACCACAACGGTGCAGAAGAACTCCACAAAAAGCTGATAAAAACAGCCCTGAGCTACAAACTGCCTATCAAACAGCTTGGGGCTGATGTTGTGTCATTCAGCTTCAATATAGATTAAGTTAATAGTTTTAGTTTTAATAGTTAAGATTTTAAACACGTGTCAACTGGGAATAAATCTTAAATCTGATTGTGGTATCCTCAGAAACTTGAACTGTAGGGGTCTAAACCAATTTGCCCTCTCTTGCAGAAATCACTAGTATCTGAGGTTTAATGAGAGTTGTTAATCATCTGACAAAACAAAGAGGCCAATTTAAATAAAACATAAATTAACAGAAGTAATGTATATAACAACAGGACCCATTGTTTTATTTGATTTCAGTAAAGTGGACCATTCAACAGTTTTACCGGGGCTCATGTATATTGATTAGTGAAACTGCATATAAGGATATGGAGACAGATTTTAAAGTTATATTTAGTATTTTATATTTAGGGGAATTAAGAATACAGTCTTAATGTGTATTAAAATTTATGGATCACACTATTAATTGATTTTGGGAAAGTTGCCTATAAATAAAATGCAGAATATGATGCACCTCTTGAAATGCAAGACTAGGCTGTGCCTAGGCAGACTAAATGGGTCATAATTATATTACCACTAATAAAACTTTTAATTAATTTAATACTTGACATATAAATGAATAAGTGAATTAAACTCAATTCAACTTTATTTATATTGGGCCAATTCATAACAGCAGGTCTAGACCATGGTCTTTGTAATTTATGAATACGTTTAAGAGATTAAATACATAAATATCAAATGAAAAATAAAAAAATGCATTTTCCTAAATTAAATTAAAAAGTAGCCTTTCAACTGTGGTTTGTTTTCACAGAGTTCCCATTGAATGTAGCACACAGCTGCAAGTTAAACAGTCCATGTATAAACCCCTTAAAGTAAACCCCTTAAGTTTGACTTACCCTGTTAACTTCAGCTAAAGCTAGTCCATTACTATTATACTACTATAACTATTTTACCATTTCTACATTGCCTTTAACTAACATCAACTATTTTAACAGTTAATCCATTAATTTTAGCCTTCTATGTCATCCTTTCACACTTTACTTTTAGGCTTATTTCAACTGTTTATCCATTATTTTAAGCTAACTGTTTTAACCATTTGTACATGACCTGTAGCTAACTATTTGAAATGTTAATATATTACTTTTAACTATCTATTTCAACCATATATATATATATATCACTTTTAGCTAACTGTTTCAACTTCTCTGCTTGCTTGCTAGTCTCAGGTGCTGTAGGATATTCTATATCAGGATGTATTTTTAAATTCAAATAGTCATTTAATTTTTTTTTCAAATTTGTTGAGCTGCTCCACGTTTTATCCATGTACCTGTAAATCAAAAGCAGTTTCAAGCTGCATAGGACGGTTGGGCTGTAGGTTTGTTAGCACTATGAGAAATCTTTTCAAATAGCACTCATTTGATTCAATGTTTATACAAAAAAATGATCCTGATTCAGGTTTAATTGAATACATACTTTATCTCCTTTAGGCCCTGGTGGTCCTGTTAGCCCAGGTGGGCCCTGCAACCCCTAAAGAAAGAGTAAGGGTAGAGTAACAGTTAGATCTGGATAATCATCGCTACAAAAAAAAAAATTAACCATAATGAATTAAGATTTACTGGGGTGGGACACATTATTTAGTTTTTACAACTACATTAAGCCCTATACAGAATACAGAGAACCAATAGAAATGTAGATATACCACATTATTATGTCCAAAATCTCATTAATCTAATGTTTGTGATAATGGGTAAGGTTAAGGGTTAGGAGAGTTTGTGAATGAAAACACTGAGTCTTTAGTCTGAGATCCCAAAAGCCTGATTTCACAGTTCAGGGTTACAGTACCACTGTTTAGCCAGGGGAGGGAGATGATGGCTTTTACAGGAGAGACTAACCTCTCACTTCAACCAAACACACACTTGCATGGCTTTCTAGGTGCTGGAATTGACACAGATATATGTTGCCATCTCAGTCATCAAATCAGCTCCACGCAAACTCAATTTCATCGAAGGTCATGATGGAATATGAGATGAGAATGTCACACAAATGTGATTCAGATTTCCTATGTGGTTTGTTTATGCATTTATAACAACATTAACACTCTGAATTCAATATCACTGTGAATAAATCTGACGTTTAAAGTATACCAAGACCTATAATGACAAAAATAACTGTGAAATCCAGCTTTGATTAAAAACATTTATAGGTATTGCTAAATGTAAACAATTTCTTACCCTTTGACCTCGGATCCAAGATCTTAATCCCGCCCCATGATGCCTGACAGAGTGCGTAGGCGGCTGATAGGCTGTTTTAACAGTCTGCTGTGCAGATTCAGTCTCTGATTGGATGAAGGTTTCTTCAGTGCTTCTCAAATTAGGGGAGGACTCAGTGTAATCCTCAGAGGTGACAGTTTTATTATCATAACTTACATCTTCTATCTCTGCATGTCTTTTCACTTCCTCCTCCCCTAAATCTATCTCATCTTCATCTGTCTCTGTCCCACTCCCCTGCTCCCCACCTGGAAGTTGTTGTTGTTGTAACGTGTCCATTTTTGGTGAAACAGTTTCCAACCTGTCTTCCATTTCCTCTTTTTCCTTTATCTGACTTGCTGAAATATTACCAATCTCACCCTCTATGTTCCTGGGATTTAGTGCTTCTACGCTTTGTAGAGTGGGAGTTAAAACAGTCAGGTTTCGGGGGGGATCAGTATAAGGTGGACCCTCAGTTGCTGTTCTGTTGGGTAATACATTTTGTTCTGTCTGTCTTAAGAATTGAACTGGTGGGTCTACTGAAACTGGGGGTATAATGACCAGTGGCGATGCCTCCTGTTTTGCCTCCCTTACTCCTCCTTTAGATGAAGGGTACAGTCTGGAAGCAACAAACCCTGATTGTGTGATGGGGCCTGATATAAGAGTCGACCCAGTAGCAAACTCAGAGTCCTGTGGCCCATTAGAGAAAGATCTCTCTGTGCTTGCATTTTTTTCCCTTCCTGATGAGACACCTTGAGCTGTGGGGTTCTCAGGTCGAAAGCTGGGGCTTGAAAGGGCCGTCTCAAAGTTTTCCAAGACAGACACATCACTTGTTCTGGAGCCCTCTTTAGCTGCAACAAATGGCTGATAAACTTGTCTTAGGTACTGAGCTGTTGTGAGTGTGTGGACAGAAAGAGTTTTGCTTATGATACTTCCTTGTGTGCTCCATGGTTCTTTCATAGTCCCTACTATGTCAGGGTGCAAATTAGAAAGCTGCTCATTTCCAGTCAGAGAAAGAGGCTGTGGTTCACCTTGATTTACTCCCTTACTCACAGTTGTTTGTTTATCCTTTTCTCTGTCGGTTGAGCCTACAGTCTGAGTATCTGTGTGAACCCAGGTTGTCACCACAGATTTGGTGTCTACATCCTCTGGACCAGGATGTGACTTCAGAGGCGAAGTGCTGCTCACTGGATCCAGTCTTGGTGTCAGGTCAGTGGGACCAGCCTGTAGAGTTGGTTTACATAAGGAGACATAAAGAGATTACCCGGTGTCCCCAACATGCACTGTGTGTGCGGAACTCCCTTTTAAGTCTTTTTATTCTTTATTGAGACCTGAGAGCAAGAAATTACGTCAAGATTTATCAGTACATTTTATACTGTTTTGTTATTGCCATTGTCCCATTATTAAATAGATCTAAAGCAAGAATGAGTCCACTGAAGTCTAGGGCATAAAGTAAATTAATAAACAGCTGTTAAGTAATAACAATAATTAACACCAAAGGATACAATTCAAACAAACTGCATACAAAAATGATATTACAGAAATTACAGTTAAGTATTGCGCTCTCTTTGGTGGTATGAAAATAGTCTGTATAGAAATGTAAATAGTCTGTATAGAAATGTAAACACTCCGATAGAAAAATGCTTCTGGCGGGATGTGACACAGGTATAACATAAAGTTAGTATCCAAAACAAATAAAATTTTTATGACGTTAAACTCCTCTGGGATGAACACTCCCCGTGTGGCTTCCGCAGACAGACAGGAATGGTGCTACCACAGATGCTTTAACCAGCAGAGCACTGTGGATAAATATTACGAAACACCATGCGTTCACACTAACATGTCATCAGTCAATAAAAAGTACAGCTACTCTCTCAGGCAGAGCTGAATTACTTTTTAGAACTGCAAAATTATTAAAGGCCCTACACACCCTCAGTTCACCAATACAGGCCTATCAGGTGCCCCATCAGATCTAATTAGACTGTGTGGGTATGTAAAAACTAAGCTAAACTCCTGAACTGCCTGTTAGCTCTGTTGCATAGAGTTTGGTGAGCTCACATAATTCCTAGCATAGCTCCACCAACGTGTTCCAGAGGCCTCATCAGCCACTTGAAAATACTTTTGTGGGTGTGCCGAGTCTTTAAAGTGGAATACAGTAGGTTTAGAGATGAAATATTACACATAAAAAGCAACAAACAATAAAAGATTTTTTGGATGAGCATAACAGCAATAACAACAACAAATCCATTCCTAATTAAATCTTTATTTATTGTCTGTTGTGCCTCATAAAAAGCTTTGCCTGGCTGTAAAGTTTATAATACAACAGACCAACAAAAAAGATGATGTAAACCTTGTGTGTAAATCCCTACAGTTTAGACAAGAGTCTGTTAACTGCAGTACCTGTGTGTCTGTCTGAGCTGAGCAGGTGCTGCTGTGATCTCGACAGTGCTGCTCTGCCACTTCAGGATCTCCTAAGACAAAGATCATCTGCTGGACGGGCCCCTAAACACACACCACAAACACACAGACACACATGACACAGAAGGTGATCAGTTTAAAGAGTTTAATTCCAAACCTGCACTATGGATCACACACTACTGCCATTTCTTTAGTGGAGAAAAAATTTGAATTGGAGGGAATTCTGACTTGATCGTGTAGGTAACTTGATTTTTTTCCTTTTTTTAAAAATGGACTCATTGACTAGAATCTGCTAAATATGACTAGTTAACTAAATAGTTATAAATATAAGGGCAGTTGCAGATATTAAAGGTACTGTGTTGTCGTACCACAGCCATCAGCAGTCAATATGTGGCACTGAGTAAGCTAGATTAGTTTATCCACTGTTTTGTAAATACACGCATCACTCCTTTAAGTGATGTTTATTTCACTGTTGAGCCTCACAGCATCCTCGTTGACTAATGTGAAGACCAAACCCAACCCATTTTCTGAGGTTAAATCCTTCTTTCTATAGGTCTACCTTTTTAACGCAACGCTCAGATTTTCTCATGGTGACAAAGGGGGTCACATTTTCTACACAGGATTTTATGAGATTTACTCGTTGATGTGAAAACCTTCCCCTGCCTCTCATCCTCTCACATGCACATGTAAGAAACCCACAAACCCGAAACCACAAATATTTGAGCTACTGGTGATATACCATATAAAAAAACACACACGCAACGAAACTGGTGCACAGCCTATAGTGATTACATTAAATATATGGAAACCCTGTTAAACCCCCATTAAATGCAAGAGAAAAGCAAGCTGAAGATAAGAAAATCATAAGGTTATAATGATGATGTCTAAATCTAAATCAAAAGATAATACTTCCAAATCATCTTGAAGTAATCAAATGCTCTGAATAAATAACGTGTTTTTCAGAGCCCTCTATGTTCATAAGTTATATAAACATTAAAAATCTTAACAGACAGTTTCTAAGTTTTACCAGAAGTGGTCATAAAGTTTCAGAAATTGTAAGGGAGACCAATGATACAGATAGTCAGACTTACGCAGCTCAGTAGCAGTAGCACCACCACAGCACCCTGCATGGCTTCTGATAAAGGTAACTTCTGCACTCCTCTGACTGCAGCTGCCTTACTCCTCCAGGGGCTGCACTTTAAAAACACACAACCCTTCCAGAAGGACTGAGCTCATCTCTGGCCTGACTGACCACACATTTACAGCCCAGAGAGATGATGAAATCAACAGACCAAGACAGACACACAAAATCTTATATATACACACAGCACAAAAACACACCCTTCTGCTTCCTGTGACAATGCTGTGTCTACAGTTTAATACTCAGCAAGCTAGCAAGTGACTCAGAGTGTGAACAGCAACAGACAATTAGGTGTGTTGTCTACTGAGCCTGTTGCTGTAGAGTAAATGTAAGTTCTTTGTTTCCCTGGTTGTTTAGACTGTTAGATCAGGGCAGACTGATAGTGAAGGTCACACTTTAAAGAAAACAGCTGTCACTGATGCGGGCCTGTGTTGAGGGATTAGCTTCCTGTCCTGAGAAGCTCATCTCATCAGCCTCCTTTTATCTCCTCCTTGTCTTATTCCTACTCCAACTTCATCAGTCACACGAAATACTTTAATTTACAGATCTGCCAGCTCAAGGGTTAATGTAGGACATATAGACACTTTCCTCTTTTCACACAAAGGTTTCATGAATGCACAGAAGACATTATTATATTGTTCATAGAGATTTTAATAGATCAAACCTCTATTAGAAGTAGCATTTGCACTTAATTCATATCAACTGATTAATGTATTATGCATAATTTGCCATTGAACTTCACATTGAGCCCTCCCTCCTCTGTCCTTTTTGTCCAGGGTCAGGAGGGGAGGACTGTGGCCCAGGTGAGGAATGTGACATGAAGATCAGAAGAGCAAGGGGCTACTGCCTGAGCAGTGTTATGTCAGTTGAGGTTGGGGCTTACGGTAAAGGGTGTGTGGCGAGGATGCAAAACTCCTCCCAACAACGACAGGTCTAAAGTGTTGATCTGCAGTCCCAGGCCCCGATGCCAGGGGGTGCTCTCCTGTAGATAACAGTCCAGCCTTGGCCGTCCATGACCCTGTCGCCAGTTCACCTCTTTTCCTTCCTTGGACCACCTTAGATAGGTACTGACCACTGCAGACGATTTTCAAGATGCTCTGACCCAGATGTCTAGCCATCACAATTTGGCCCTTGTTGAGACGCTCAAATCGTTACACTTCCCATTTTTCCTGATTCTAACACATCAACTATGAGGATACACTAGAATCACTTGCTGTCTAACCTACCCCACCCACTGAAATGTGCCATGATAAGGAGATAATCAGTGTCATTCACGCCCCCTTTCAGTTGTCATTAAGTTATTGGTGTTTCGTGTACAGTACTTATACATCACTGCTGGAAGGTGAGAAGTTAAACCAGTGAAGGTCACACCAGGAGGTGTTAAGTTGCTCTTAAAAGCTATTATTTGTCAAATTAGAACATTTGCTTCCCTCAGTGGAAGTATCAAAAGATGAGCTTTGATGGGAAACAAAAGTGCTGTGAAAAACACAGACTTGGTCCTCACAACTTTTGCTGGATTTTCAGTGGAGGGTGTAACATTCAACTTAGGTTTTTAGTAGTTATATTTTCTCATAGAAATAAATCAAAACAGTGAGTTCAACATCAACATCTTTGTTTGGGAACTAAACCAGTTTTAGTGCTTATGTTTTGTGATCTGCAAAGATTATGAGTTTGGCACTCCTCACTTGGACATTTGGTTTCATCATTAAAGTCTTTGGTATCTTTTTGGAAAACATGCCACACCTTTTATAAATCCTACTGTTCAACAGGAGTTGATAAAGCTGAAGACAACTGAATACACTTACTAAAACCCTACATAGATACAGATTTTTCCTATTACACATTCAGTAGTGGATGTTTGTTTGTGGATCATTATGTGTTTGTCTGTGGAGTGTTCTCACTCATAGTGTTATTCCAAGGCACCGATGACCGTGAGTTGAAAAAGCTCATCCCCGTCCTGCCCAAAAACAGCCAATAGCGTCATCTCCTCTGACCGCCGTTGACCCAGACGAAGACGTATCACCACACTCAGCTCATCTGGAAAACTGTCATGTAAATGTTAGCACATTAACTAGTAAATGTACACATCCACACTCTCCCACACACACTCACACATGTGCTCACAGGGACATTTTAACTTAATCATTCAATGGACAAGGACAGTTGTGAGACGAGTAGACAGTATAGATTTTAAACCCATGGTGTGTCAAAGAGAGTCTAAAGACTTTCCTCACAGAGAGACACTTCACATTTGAATGTAAACTTTATCACAAAGCTGACAGATTCAGACGGCATTAGTACACTGTGTGTGTAAACAGTCAAGGTCAAGTTTAACATCAAAGCCCTGCGCTAAATCCTTTCAACCTACACATCACGGAAAGAAAAACTATCCTAGATAAACAAGTTCGCTGCAGTCATGTGTGACCTTGTCCATGAAAATGAAAAATCATCTTTTGTAGTACATGATGCAGCAATCTGTTTGACTTGTCACTACTTAGTTCATTGTTTATGCTAATTTGTGTTGTCTTTTCTTTTTTTGTCAATAAATGTGTAGTGGGTTAAAGAAAACCACATTTAGTTTGATTTACAGTACAAACATTGCAGAGTTAGTGTTTAAATGGTCACGATCCTGTCCTGAGTTCTCTGTGTGCTGTATTTTGAGTCTTGTTTCTCTGTTTTTGGGTTTTGGTTTTTGATATTAAGGTTGGTTTTGCATCTGCATTATAGTGCTGTCATCTGTTCTGTTGAGTTTAGTTCTCTGAGTTTATTGTTTGGTCAGTTCAGTATCTGTTATTTAGTCTGTGTTTTGGTTCCATGTCTTTGTTCCTAGTCCTGTGCCTTAGTTCATGTCTTAGTATTTACTTATAGTTCTTTGTCTGCATTAGTTTAGTTTAGTCTGCTCTGTATTCTGTGTTCTAGTGTTCTCGTTTAGGTTTTGTCTGTTATGATCCCTGTGTTATAGTTGGTCTCTGTTATTGTCTGAAGTTAGATTCTTGTCTGGTATTTTGTAACATGTGTTCTGTCTGTTCCCCTAGTAATCTGCCTGCCTGCTTGTCTCTCTGCCTGTCTCGTTAGTCCTGATTCCTCTCACTTCTGGTTCCTGATTCCTCTCCGCCTGCTCATCAGTCCCTGGTGTTAAATGTTTGCAGTTTCTGTTCAGTTGATGTCTGGTCATTGCAGTGTGTTGTAGTGTGTGCCTGCCTTGCTCTGTATTGTTGTGTCATCCTGTTTCCCTGCGTTTTGTGGATTTTGGAGTTTCTAGTGGATCACCTTATTTTGGATTATGGACTCAGCCACTCTGTAGTAAGTGAGCTCGCTTTGTGTTTAAATAAACGTTTCTGAACTGAACCTCATCTGTGTACTGTGTTTTGGGTCCTCCAACCTGCTCAACCCTACATCCGCTGTGACATGAATTGGAAATCTTACAACATATTACACAAATATTACAAAAAATGATATCCTGCCCAGTAAGTATTTTCTTGTCTGAAGCCACTTAGTTCCTTAACTGTTGGACACTGTACTATGAATAACGATACTGACATTGTCTTTAGTAGATATAGATGTTGATAGAAACTTAGACTAGTTTGGGTTTTGTGTGATGTGGAGTGGCTGAGTGGGCCTTAGATGACACAGCTTCCTGTTGAGAGGTCTGGTTGTGTTGTGGACGTGACTCAACAGAGAGCTGAATACTGTAGCTGCTGGTAGGAACATTGTGGCATTTTGTCCAACTTGATATGCTGGACATCCTCGGCCATCCTCTTCTGTTGTTGAGCCATTGTAATTAGTGGCTGATTGCATGTCCAAGAGCTGCAATAGATCCACTTCTGGAAACACAAGACTTATTATTATTATTATTATAAAATGAAACTAACTGGCATAATTTTGTTGAGTGACAAATACAAGTTAATTATTAGTAAATAGGCTAACTTTATTAAATATACATTAAAAATAGAATGAGCAGATGAACATAAAATCTTATCAGATCATGTATGATCTGTGTTCTTCCTTAAACAAGCCAGTAAGCTTTAGGCCCCATCCACACTACTGCGTTTCCGAATTAAAACGGAGACCTTTTGCTACGTTTGCACCTCCCGTCCAGACGGCAAAAACTAAGACCTAAATCGGAGGTTTAGAAACGCTGCCGACCCTGTTCTGCGTTTCAAAACTCCGGAGGCCGTTTTAGTGAAGACGGGCCAAAACAGAGGACTTCAGAAACGATGACGCAGCCGCTCACGCTCGGCTCTCTGATTGGGTCTTGACCGGGTTTTTGACATGGTATTTATATTAAAATATTATATACAGGTGCAAATAACACTTATCTGCTTACACATGTACTGTGCATGTCGCTGTATTTACTTTGCAACGACTCCCCAGTCTGTTTTCCGCCGCCACACTCCTGTGTTAAATTCAGTAACTCCTTATTGGTGCATGCAAAAAAATAACTTCTTCGTCTGTATTTATTTTTTCTTTCACCAAATCTTCTGTAACCAGGAAGAGACAATCTGCTTCATGTTTAGTGTACCTGAACAGCCAATAGATGTGCGTTTTCAGTCGTTTTAATGTAGACGGAGATCAACTCCAAAACGCAGCTAAAACGCTGGTGTGGACAGAGATCGTATTCGTTTTAATTCTCCGTTTGTAAACTAAAACGGAGTAGTGTGGATGGGGCCTTAGAGAAGATGAGGTCTGTTAGACAGCTAGACTAGACACCTCTGGACAGACTGTTTTCACTTTTGACTTTGGGCTTTTGCAACTTATTGCAACTGTCTGTGGAGAATGGGGAAGGATGTTTAACACCTCATATGGACAAACCACAATAGGATTAAATGTTTTTCTACATGGACTTATTGAATTGGAATTACAAAGTTGTAAATGAAGGTGACAAATTTATTACTTTCTGCAGTAATCAAAACAAATGCAGCACTCATATCAACCTGATGCTACTGACTGATCATGTTGCAATTGATTTTTGACCAGAAGTGGCATGTGGTTAATAAGTAAACATAACATTGACATTAACAGCCAGATGCCATTTCTGACCTGTCATTCACTCAGCAGAATACTGGAAATTTTACATTTTTGACTGAAGTGGATGAGTTAT